CGGGCGTCATCTCTACGGTGACTGACAGGGTGGGGGGGCGGGGCAGGAGGCAGCTCAGCCCCAGCACCTGTCTCCAGCCCTCGGGGCCCAGGCTGAGTCAGCCGGAAGGGGCCTGGGGAGACGGGGAGCGGAATAAGGATGGACACCTGTTCCCCACTGTCCCTCTGCCCGCCCCTCTGGACCCACTGGTCTGACCTCAGGGACACGGTTGCTGCCCTGACTGGGGGCACCTCCGTGGCTCTGGCTTCCCCACTCTCCTGAGAGGTCTCTGGGCTGTGGGCCCACCTTGTCGGCTGTAAGGGGGGCTCTGTGGAACCCCCCCCTGCAGGAGCCTCCCGGGGAAGGTGGGATTGGAGTCAGGTGCCCCAGGCCTGCGGCTCTCCGCCCCCAGAGGCTGCAGACACCTGTGCCCCCACCTGTGCCCCCTCAACCACTTATTTGTTCAGCCAGGTTTTCTGAGCACTTCCGTGCGCCGGACGCGGGGTCCACCCGCAAGCTCCCGAACCTCGGTACCTGAGTGTGGGGGGCTTCTCGGAGGAGGTGTCCTGGGCCCAGGAGAGGGTTACCCTCCCGTCTCAGGGGCCCTGAACCCCCGGAAGAGTGTCCCTATGGGTCGGGCGAGGGCTGTGCTTCATGCAACCCCCAGAGGGCCCCCCCCCCGGGCCAGAGGGGGCACCACTGCTGCTCGCACAGCGTGGAACAGAGTGCAGGGGAGAGCACGCTGCCCCCGGTGCTGGGGAGACCAAGGAGGGGCTGGGACCACCGTCCTGGCGAGAGGGGCCCGTGGGCAGGCCGCGGTTGACGGGACGGCCGGGACGACCCCAGGTGCTGGGGCTGTCGCGGGACTGGGGCTGACACAAGGGTGAAGTGTGCACAAGTCTTGGGGGCACCCCCCACGGCCTCTGACCCTGCGGGGCGGCCGAGCCGGTGCCGGGAGGGGGTCAGGCCGCCCCACGGAGCCTTACGGATTCCCTTCGGGCTGTTGTGCAGGTTCCCTCGGAGACCCGGAGACTGCAGAAGAGGACGCCGGCCTCCTGGAGCAGGAGGCTGGAGCCGTGGGGCCCGAGGCCGCGGGAGAGCCCGAGCCCCTGAGCCCTGCCAGTGCAGGTGAGTCGCAGTGGGCGTGCCACGGGCCCGAGTCTGACCCCTGTGTTGCAACCCCCGCCCCCCACCGCGTCCTTGCCTGTGACTTCACGGAGCCAGGTCCTTCTGGGACTCGATTTCCTCACCCATGAAGTGGGTGTTAAGCTTGGCGGTGTCTGTGGGCCGACTGCTCCGCAGTTTCCCACCAGGGCGCTGACGCCCCGGGGACACACGCCACTGGGCACGGGTCCAGCCCCTTCTGGTACCGATGGGGAGACGGAGGCCCCGCTGGGGAGGTCTAGCCCAGGTCGTGGGCCACTGAGTGACCTTGAGAAAGCCGTGCCGTCTCCAGCCTCACTTTGCCCTGTGTGGAACGGGGACAGTGAGTCCTTACCTGGCTGTGCCAACTGCTCAGCACACATGGTCTCAGTACAGAGCAGGCTGTAAGGTGAGGTACGGTACCCCATTTTACACCCGAGGGAATGAGCCCAGAGAGGTTAAGAGGCTTGCCCCTGGACACACAGCCTGTAAGCACCCAGGCAGCGATCTGACCTGACCCTAGGTCTGGATTCAGGTTGATTCCCCTTCGTGCCCAATGCCTGCTCCCCCCCCACCCCCACCCACCCCAGGCACCTGGAACCTTTCTTTGGACCCTCCTGGTGGCAGTTTCGTGGGCCAGAGGTAGTGCTGGGGGGTGGGGTGCCTGGGCATGCGCTAACCACCAGGAGGCCAGCTCTGGCCTCAGGGCGAGGGCGGCTTCCCTAGCGAGCTGTACCCCCGGGCCCCCAGGGGGAGGGGGCTCGCTGAGGCGCTGGGGGCGGCCTGCTTTCCTGAGGAGAACACTCAGGTTGCGAGACTAGTGGGGGTGTGGTCTGGTGCACCTCTCCCCGCCCCCACCCTGCTGCCCATGGCCCGTGATCTTATCCCCATTCAGCACCTCGACGCCCTTGCACACAGAGGATGCGCAGAGAAGGGGGTCCCCGGGCGGCAGCACCTGCCCGTGCAAAGGCCCTGAGGTGTAATATGGCGAGTGGGCAGCAGCCTTCTGCGGGGTGGGGGTGGGGCCGGGGCACAGAGACCCCAGGCAGAGCGCGGGGACCGCCCCCCCAGCATCTCCCAGTCTCAGAGCATCATCGTCCCCCCTGGGATGGCCACAGGCCAGGAGTCCAACAAGCCTCGTGCTCTGAGACCTGGCGGCCCCTCGGTCCCTTTCCCCAGTGGCAGGCCCCTCAGGGGTGGCCCCTCGGCCCACCCAGAGACAGTGGCCGGGGTGCCGGGTCAGGGGCCCGGCCTCCGGTGCCGGCTCTTGTGCATCATTACTATCTCCGCCACCATCATCGGCATCATGTCTGTCCCCGGGGCCCGTGCTCCTGCCCTGCCTGAGCCTCGGTCGCTGGGTCTGGGCGGCCGAGCCTGTGGCAGTGCGCCCGGGGCCCCCTTATCGCCACCGCCATCACCACCGCTGTTAGGTGCTGTGTGCTAATGGGGGAGCCCCGATCTACCAAAGGGCAAGTGGCTGTTACTGGTGGACTTTGACCCCGGTGGCTTTCCAGGGGAGCCGGGCCCCTTATCTGATCTGCTCGCTGGGGCTGCACGGGGTGGGTGGGGGCGGGGCCGGGGAAAGCGCTGGAAAAAACAGCCGGGGTTGCACCTGGCACAGGCCGCGGTGATAACGCAGCGATGGGCGAGATAAGGCGGAGGGGAGCGAGCTCTGCCTCTCGGGCGGGCCCAGCGCGGCTCCCGCGCGATGGCTGGGGCTCGAATGCCAGCCGCGTTGATTTATAGCCAAAAATAATAGGACTTTTATACTGTGTGATTGATTTATTTGATGTTAATCACAGCCCTTATCTTGGGTATTAATAATCTGCCGGGCGTGTGACGTCACCAAGGGGGGGCTTTTATGGGAGCTCATCGATTGGGGGCTGCGTGGTTATCAGGCCCAGCAGGGAAGGCAAATATGCCCTTTGGGCTGGACCCGGGTGCCGGGCCCGGCTGCAGGGGCCCCCAGCTGCTGGCGGAGGAGACCAGGGAGCCT